GCGCTTCGCGGTCCGACTCAGCGCCCCGCCCTTCCACAGGCCGCCAGAATTTTGTAGGTTTTCTCCAATTTGGGCGGGAGCCGGGCTGAAGAATCTAGCGGCCCCAATGGTTCCAGGGCGCTCGCTCTGCCTTAAACGGCGCCGTTGTCCCGAACCCGAGGGCCTGCGACCGGTTTCTCTTGCCCCGGAAAAGGGCGGTAATGGGAAACCAATGGGTCACGGGCCCCAGCTCCCGCCGTCCCTCTCTGAGGCTTGGCTGTCCGGTGTGTGAAGCGGGGCATGCCGCTGTCCTCTCCGTCATCGTCACCCACAGAAACCCCTCAAACCCCAGGCCGCCACCTGGCGCGGCGAAGCCTCCGGGCTGGGCCGCCGCTGCCGGTGAGACCTGAACTGTTCCTCTGAGCAAGCAGGAGAGGGCGCCACCTTCTCGGAGTTCGAAGGACACATCAGATTGTTACCTGGTTTTCTTTGGTTGGTGCCACTGTAGGTAATTCATGTGCTTTTCTGTATCATGTAATTTAAATTTTTATAAAAAAGTAAAATAGTTTCATTTTTCGGTTTTCTGCTGTGCGCTTAGTCCAGGCAGCCCCTCACGGACTGTTTTACTCGTCTGTCCCCGGTGTCTACTTATTTCCACCGCCAAGTACAGAACCTGCACACAGTGTATATTTTTTGTTGCTCGAATGAATTACCTGCCCTGACTACCTTACAGGGCTTCAGTGAAACTACCCTTTCCTTTTTTTATTTTTAAAATATATTTTATTGATTTTTTACAGAGAGGAAGGGAGAGGGATAGAGAGTTAGAAACATCGACCAGCTGCCTCCTGCACACCCCCACTGGGGATGTGCCCGCAACCAAGGTACATGCTCTTGACCGGAATTGAACCCGGGACCCTTCAGTCCAGGCCGATGCTCTATCCACTGAGCCAAACCGGTTAGAGAGAAACTACCCTTTCCATGGGCTAACTCTTTCCCTAGAGCAGTGGTTTCAACCTTGGCTGCACATTAGAATCACCTGGGAATCTTTTTAAAATCCTGATTTCTGGGCCTCATCCTCCCGAAATTCTGTTTCTTTGTTACTAATGTTGTGGCCCCACCCAAAGAAACAGAATTTCCGGAGGATGAGGCCCAGAAATCAGGATTTAAAAAAGATTCCCAGGTGATGCTAATGTGCAGCCAAGGTTGAGAACCACTGCCCTAGAGCAGTGGTCAGCAACTGCGGCTCACGAGCCACATGCGGCTCTTTGGCCCCTTGAGTGTGGCCACGAAGTTTCAATCGCACTGTACGTACGAGCCCACACGTGGTATTTTGTGGAAGAGCCACACTCAAGGGGCTGCAGTTTGCCAACCACTGCCCTAGAGGAATGGCTTCCATATCCCTCCGGTCCCAAGATCTGAGGTGATTCACATATTCGAGTCCGTGGGACATTTAGTTGGAGGTCCCCAAAGTACCCAAATTGGATATGTGTAAAATTCTAATCTTCTTTTTAATCTTACCTTTATTTATTCTTTCTGTAAAGTTCTTCCTTTACGTAGATCTGAATTTCTGACCTATATCATTGTCCTTGCTGAGAAATTTTCGTTTAACACATCTTGCAAGTCAAGTCTCCTGGTGACAAAATTTTTGTTTGCCTGAGAAAGTCTTTATTTCTCCACTTTTAAAATATAATTTTGCTGGATACAGAAGTCTAGGCTGGTGGGCTTTTTTCCCTTCAATATGCTAAGCATTTCATTCCACTCTCTTCGTACTTGCCATGCTTGCTGGAGAGAAGTTTGTTGTAATTCTTACCCTTCCTCCTCTGTAGGTAAGGTGTCCCCTCTTCTACCCCCAGGCTTCAAGGTTTTCATTTGGTGTTTTATTTTCTGCAGTTTGAATATGATATGCCTAGGTGTAGATTTTTTATTTTTATCCTGCTTGGTATTTTCTGAGCTTCCTCCATCTGTGTTTGATGTCTATCATTAATTTTGGGAAATTCTTGGTTATTATTGCTTCAAATATTCTGTTCCTTTCTTCTCCTTCTGGTATTCTCATGTGCATTTTGTAATTGTCCCACATTGCTTAGATATTGTTTTGTCTTTTCCTTTACATTTCTTTGCATTTTCTAAACATTTTGAAAATGTTTATTGACACTTATTCAAGTTTATCGATTCCCCAGCCATGCTCATCTATTGATCAGCCTGTCAAAGACACTCTTCATTTTTGTTACAGTATTATTTATTTCTAGTATTTCCTTTTGGTTCTTAGTTTATATCTTTCTGCTTATACTATCCACCTGTTCTTAAATGTTGTCCACTTTTTTCATTAAACCCATTAACATATTAATAGTTTTAAATTCCTGGTCTGATAATTCCAATATCTCTGCCGTATCTGAATCTGTTGTTGTTTTTTAAAAATATATATATATTTTATTGATTTTTTTACAGAGAGGAAGGGAGAGGGATAGAGAGTCAGAAACATCAATGAGAGAGAAACATCGACCAGCTGCCTCCTGCACACCCCCCACCAGGGCTGTGCCCGCAACCAAGGTACATGCCCTTGACCGGAATCGAACCCAGGACCCTTCAGTCCGCAGGCCGACGCTCTATCCACTGAGCCAAACCGGTCAGGGCTGAATCTGGTTTTGATAGGGGGAAGGGCATATAAAAGGAAGGGCATGTAATAAGAATAGAGCCACTGCCCGGCCAGCATGGCTCAGTGGTTGAGCGTCTACCTATGAACCGGGAGGTCATGGTTAGATTCCCAGTCAGGGCATATGCCCGGGTTGTGGGTTCAATCCCCAGTGTGGGGCTTGCAGGAGGCAGCTGATCAATGATTCTCTCTCATCATTGAGGGGGAGGCGGGGAATAGAGCCAGTTGTTTAACAGTTATTCATCTTACTAACTATAGATAAGAGTTTTCTTACAGACCCTGGGAAACTGGAGGATGAAACAAGGCTATAAAAAGATAAGATGCCTCTATGGGTCCATTACTCAGAAAAGAAACACATTTTGAGAACAGACCAAGGACAGGACTCACTTTGATTTGGTTGCTGTGCCCGGACCCTGACCCCCTCCAGGAGTTTGCCCCGGGAATGCTGACCATTCTCTGGTTCCAGGAACGGGCTGAGCTGTTTGTAACATCATAGAAGATTAGCCAACTTGTTATTAGACTTTGAGCTCCTAAAGGCCAGACTGCAGACCCTACCCCCCACCTTGCCCTCTTACACTCGAAGCTACACGTAGTTATCTTCTCCTTCACCTGTATATAATCAGGCAGCAAGCCAGGGGTGTGAGAGCAGAATTTCCAGGGTGACCGACTGCCCTCCCCATACTGCCAGTATTATTGAAATAAACGCTCATATATGATTCAACCTGTCTCTTCTTAATTTGGTTCAAGTAGTGACAGGCAGCCTCGGACCCGTTGTGTCCAGTATCAGTTCTGACTCTTGGTCTGTCTCTTCACAGTGTACGTTTTGTCTTTTAGTATGCCTTGTAGTTTTTTGTTGAAAGTCGGATGTACTGGTAAAAGGAACTGAGGTAAATAAGCCTTTGGTGTGACATTTTAAGTTTACCTGGTTTGGCAACCGTGCCAGAGTACGCCAGATGGCCAGGGCCTGGGTGTCCAAGGACTATATACAGAAGCAAGGTTACAGCAATCTCAGTACACTGTGCCCTTCTATAACCCAAATCAGTGAGGTCACTACTTGGAAAGAAGCCTCTTTTGTCTGAATAGTATAACACATGTTACTGACCAGCTGGTGTGCTAGAGAGGCTACTGAGGTTAGAGAGCTCAGGTACTGCTGCTGTGTGAGGCAGTGGCAGCGGCTGCCAACTGGTCTAGAGGCAGCCCGCGGTTGCTCAGATAATAGCTGTAGGTACAGAGGCTGCTGCTGCTTTGTGGGAAAGATGATTTGTTAACTAGCTGGTGTGCGGCTACCTATTGTATAGGACTCTACTTTGGAGAACTACTTTGTCTAATGGCTCCTTGTTAGCAATGGCGACATGGCCACTAGCTTCTACAATAAAGATTCTCTTATATAGGGTGTCCCAAAATTCACGCAAGAAATAATTTTGATAGAGAAAAACCAAGATGGCGGCATAGGTAAACACCGGAGATTGCTGCCGCAAACAACCACTTCAAAAATACAACTAAAAGACGGAACGGACATCACCCAGAACCACAGGAAGGCTGGCTGAGGAGAGACTCTTCAACTAGAAGGAAAAATAACAGCACACCGAGGCTCAGAGGAGGCGCAGTGTGGAAAAAACTCAGGTGCGGAGGTGCGCGCGCAAAGCGGGCTGGTGGCTGAGAGCGCGGTTGTCGTTTTCGGTCAGGGGGGAGTCTCAGACTCTGAGCTCCAGATACGGGCGAATCGCTGGGGACTCGGACCCAAACGGGAGAAGCGGGAGTGTCTGGCATCAGTTGGAAGGCAGCTTTCCCTCCGAGGTTTGCAGCGGTTCCGGGGGTTCTGAGAAGCAGAGCCTCTGGGAACAGGACTGAGGGCACCATAACGGCTCCCTCCGCCCGCCCTGTTGAGCCCGCCCCGCCCAAGCCCTGCGCAGAGCCATTTGCCGGATCGCCTCAGGCAAAGGCTAGATTAGCACCTCCCCAGAGGACAGAAGTTTTCCGCGGCAGACACAGCTGATTCACACAGCCAGTCGGCCTGGTGGTCAAATCCCTCTAGTATTAACTACAACAATCAAGGCTCAACTAGAACAAGACTGCGCACAAAGACCACTAGAGGGTGCACCAAGAAAGCATAAAAAATGCGGAGACAAAAAAACATGACAGAAATGGAGGATATAGAGCTAAAAATCGCAATTTTGAGGGCTTGCAAAAATGTGCTAGAAGCTGTCAATAAACTTGAGGAGAGAGTCACGAAAACTAATGAGACCCTCGATGCTATGATAAAGAACCAACTAGAAATTAAGCATACACGGACTGAAATAAAGAATATTATACAGACACCCAATAGCAGACCAGAGGAGCACAAGAATCAAGCCAAAGATTTGAAATGCGAAGAAGCAAAAAACACCCAACCGGAAAAGCAAAATGAAAAAAGAATCCGAAAATACGAAGATAGTGTAAGGAGCCTCTGGGACAGCTTCAAGCGTACAAACATCAGAATAATTGGGGTGCCAGAAGATGAGAGACAGCAAGATATTGAAAACCTATTTGAAGAAATAATGGCAGAAAACTTCCCCCACCTGGTGAAAGAAATGGACTTACAGGTCCAAGAAGCGCAGAGAACCCCAAACAAAAGGAATCCAAAGAGGACCACACCAAGACACATCATAATTAAAATGCCAAGAGCAAAAGACAAAGAGAGAATCTTAAAAGCAGCAAGAGAAAGAGACTCAATTACCTACAAGGGAATACCCATACGACTGTCAGCTGATTTCTCAACAGAAACTTTGCAGGCCAGAAGGGAATGGCAAGAAATATTCAAAGTGATGAATACCAAGAACCTACAACCAAGATTACTTTATCCAGCAAAGCTATCATTC